CTGCCTGGATTCCCCTGTAGGAACAAGGTTCCTAGCTCCCCACACCAAACCCAGCTGCCTCCTGGGCTCCCACTTCTCTGCCATATTAAAGAGATGTTTAGTACCTGTTTTGTATTCTTTTCCATAATCTTCATTATCTACTATATATTTGAGAGAGTATCCCTGCTTTTTCAAGAGCTCCTCCAAAATGGTAAGCACTAGGACCATGAAATTCGGTATACAGCTTCCTCTTATAACTTAGGGTTATAACTTAGGGAAACTCAATTAGCTGATTAATCAAAATTTAACATCCCTATTCTGTAGTACAAGTTATCAAGTTCTTCTGTAAAACCTTCATTTTGTCCCAGCTCCATCTTAAATCCATTACTATTTGGTGACTGACAATAGGAATTCATCCCTTTGTATATCTGAAAACAATAATGTTGTTTTCCTCACATGCCCAAATCTTTCTTTTGCTTAGGTCTACTTCTCTGTCACACTTGTTGCTATGCTTTCAAGCATTGCATTGTGAAGCAGAAATTGTAAAAGCCATGAGGCATGGTAATCTTGAGATTAAAACACTGAATTTGTCCTCCGGAGATCCAGCTTGAGTTCTTGACTATGTTACTAGCCAACTGTATAATGAAAATAATACTTTCTGATCACAGAGAAGTGTTTTGAGGATGAATTTGTTAATATTTCAAGGTGTTCATGTATGAGTGCCATATGAGTGCCTATGTAGGTAGTTCACATTAATTGCTAGAAAAAAATCGCGAAAGGGTGTGGGAAAATTTAGACTTTGGGACTTGATTAATGGGATAATAAAAGCTTTGCCATTGCAAGTAAAAAGTTAACCGTTTAAACATTATGTTTAACTGGCTATTTAGGATCCCACGTGTTGGGGGGAGGGGAGCAGGAGCTGTTTGGGCTGGGTCAGGTTGGCAGGGGATGCCTCAGCCCTGGCGGGACACTGGTTCACCACCCGTTAACCCTTTCCATCCGTAATGGCAAGCGATAATGTAAACAGCGCTTTATCTGCAGCAGTGCTCTCCTGTGAACAAAACAAATACTGCTCATGGAGGGAGGAGAGTTTTTGTTGCCAGAGATGTCAACAAACAGTGATTACATTGTTCAACTTTTAATGGTACAGAATCAATCTTTGTCTCAAAGTATTTGATCAGTTTCCCCAGATAGATAAAACAAGAGTTCGGCCTTCTTTTATTCTTCAACTTTGTCTTTTAGGGAAAGTTCAGCTTGAGGGATTACATGCACAAGGATAAACAATCATAAACCTTGTGGATGTAGTCTACTTGGTATTCACTGTAAAACTAATACTGATTTCAGTGGAAGGCTGTATATTGTTGATTTCAAAAGAATGCATAAAATAATGAATGTATTGGATAAAGAGTGAAAGGCAAACTTGCATGATGTACGGATGTTAAAACAGTTAACCAGTTTACCATTTTAACTTGGGGCCTTCTGCCTAGCCCAACCCCCAGTCCAATCATAGCCATGGGGACCTGCTGTGGCATCCTTTTGCCTGGTCCCATCATGGAAGTGAGGTCCCACCACCTGGCATGCTGGCCTCTCTAAGGCGGGGGGGGGGGCTATTCCAGCATGGCTTGGCTGGCTGCCATCAGAGTTTACCAACAAGCGCCAGTTAATTAGTTAACCAGTAAGAGTACTGGTACCGGTAAGCCTCGTGCTTACCAGTATGCTTACCAATTAATGGTTTAATATCTGTAGCATGAGGTGCCTCACTGATGCAGATATGTAGGTATGAGCTAGAACTGTTTACAATAGTAACAGAACCAGGAAACAACGAAATGCAGTAAACCTGTAGCAAATAGAGAAATAATGGGCTTTTGGGAAATGAGCTGTTGTCAAGGCTTTACAGGAAATATATGCCAGCCTTGTATTGAAATAATAAGTTTTGATTAGGCGTGTATGGGAAGGACAAAACTCAAGCCTTCATTGTGAATAAGGAGCATCACAAGAGAGGATGACTTCATTTTGTGTGTGCTCTGCACCTGCTGCTGTGTATAGAATACTCTTTTCAGGGTTTCTACAGGGCACCTGATTTCATGATGAATCAGCTGATTGGACATAGAGCTAATTTTTATGGCTATCTAGAAACAGGAAGAAAACATTTCCTGCATGCAGCCCATAATAGTCACTGGTTTTAGTTTGCAATGGTCAGATTAAAATGAGAATATTCTCATATCTAGCAAGACATTTCTTGTTTTGTTTTTTCTGTAGTAAGTATATTCAGAAGCCAGTGACCCTTAATTTTTTTTAAAGTGGATTTTTGTTTAGCACTGGACTGATTGGAAAGTGCAGTTGTGAATCATCGGAGATGCCAGTTAATCTTTCTCCCTTTCTGCCTTTTCCCTTTATAAATCAAGATACTTTATATTCCAAACATGGCAGTGGCTTAAGGTGAAAACAGGGTATCTACTAGAACAGGGCTACTCAATACATGGCCCACAGCCCGTTTGTTTGCAGCCCACGGTGTGGCTTGGATTTACGTGGGGCTCAACGCGCAGCCTGCAGGTGGGAACCAAAACAAAAAAGTAGTCAATATAACGGTCTTCTGTTGATATGCGTTTTAGTAGTTAAATTCCTGGACTGTCTTTGCTCATTAAAAGTGCTGTCATATGGGTGGAAATCCGGTAAATATTGCATTTTATTAATACCAACAGAACTGACTTAAATGGGGCCTGTGTGTTGTGTAGTCTTGCCTTAATCTTTGTATTATGCCCATGAGTGTGAAAAGCTGTTTGAATTTATTTGCATATATATTTGCTTGTATATGCAACTACTCTTAAGTTGCTGCCCTTGGCATGTGCTATGAATATCATTGTGGCCCCCGGGGCTTCCAAAGTTGAATAGCCCTTTATGAAAGGACTATATTGTGTAATATATGTAGCTAATCTGCTTTTCAAATAGATATACATTGTGTAAATGGGGTAGGATCTGAGACTAAATAGGGAAATAACAAGTTAAGAATTACTTACACTAACTAGATGTCTTCAAGTCTGCAGAGCTTAATTAAATACATCCTAGAATACAGGCAATCCCCGGGTTACGTACAAGATAGGGACTGTAGGTTTGTTAAGTTGAATTTGTATGTAAGTCGGAACTGGTACATATTGTAGGGGAAACTCTAGCCAAACATTTCTCCAGAGCTCAGTTTTATTCTCCCATACCTCACTTCCCTCAGTCCTTTATTCTCAAGCTGAGGTGTCTGCTGAGAAAAGCCGCTCCACGTCTCCCTGGTCTGCTGGGGGGAAGCAGCTAATGCGGGGTTGCCTCACCCCGTTTGTAAGTAGGATCCGATATAAGTCGGATCCATGTAACCCGGGGACTGCCTGTACTTCAAAGAACTAACTAGCTGAAGAGATCTCTGAGCCAACAGCAATTATCTTTGGGAACTCTAGAGGATGGTGGGAGAACCCAGAGGACTGGAAGAGAGCAAATGTAGTTCTTAACTATAAAAAGGGGAAAAAAGACAACTCTAGGAAATTATAGACCTAGCAGCCTTGTCATTAACAGTGACAAAAGTTAATGGAACAAATAATCAATTTGTAAGCACTTAGAAAATAAGGTCATAAGTAACAGTCAACATGCATTTATCAAGAACAAATAGTGGAAAACTTACCTATCCTCTTTCTTTGAGGCAACAAGCCTTGTGAATGGAGGGAAGCAGTAGATATGAGAGAGCTCAATTTTAATAAGGTTTTGGATACTGTCTCACATGACCTTCACATAAGCGAACTGGGGAAATACAACCTTGACAAATCTTCAAGTACACAACTGGTTAGAAAATTGTACTCAGAGTAGTTATCAATAGATAGTCTAGCTGGAAAGGTGTTTCCAGTGAAGTCCTGAAGAGATCTTTCCTGGATCTGTTTCTGTTGAAAATCTTTAAGTGGTTTGTATAATGACAGAGAGAATGCTCATATGTTTGCATCTGATACCAAGCTAAGTGGGGTTGAAAGTGCTTTGGAGGACAGGATTAGAATTCAAAGTGATCTCAACAATCTGGTGAAATCTTCTGAAATAGGATGAAATTGAATAAGAACAAATACAAAGTACTGTATTTAGGATGGAATGATCAACCGTGGAAATACAGAATAGGGTGACAGGCAATCATTAGGAAAGAATAGTGCAGAAAAAGATCGGGGATTACATTGGATCACAACTAAATATGAGTCGGTAACATAAATAATGTTACCAACAAAGGAAACATCATTCTGGGATGTATTATCAGGAGTGTTGTAAGCACGACATGAGAAGTAATTCTTCCGTTCACTCAGCACTGTTAAGAGCTCAAAGTAGAGCAGCAAAAAATCATTAAAGGTTTAGAAAACATGATATACAATTAAAAAAATTGGGTTTGTTTAGTTTGGAGAAGAGAATAGCCTTCAGGTATATGAAAGGTTATAAAGAGCAGTGTAATAAATTGTTCTCCTGATCCACTGAGGATAGGCCAAAAGCTTTATTTGGACTTGAGTTGCATCAAGGAAGGTTTAGATCAGATATTAGGAAAACCTTCCTAAATGTAAGTATAGTTAAGCCCTGGAACAAATTATCTAGGGATGTTGTGGAATTGCCATCATTGGAGGTTTTAAAATCCACGTTCGACAAACACATCAGGGATGGAAAACATTTTTTTTCAGTCTGGGGTCAGTGATCCACAGAAAAATCAGTCAGAGACTACATAGAAGTGAGAAGCAAAACAAACAAACCAAAACTGAGGCTATATCTAGACTATAAGCCTCTTTTGAAAGAGGCTTTTTCAAAAGAATCTTTCAAAAAAGCCTCTTTCGAAAGGGAACGTCTACACTGCATCCACTTCTTTTGAAAAAGCAGCTTGCTTTTTCGCAAGAGCACCCAGGCAGTCTGGATGCTCTCTTTTGAAAAAGCACAGTTTGCATTAAATAGCGCCTTTTTTCGAAAGAGCACTTTCGAAAAAAGGCGTTCTTCCTCGTAAAATGAGGTTTACCGCAGTCGAAAAAACTGCTGCATTCTTTCGATTTAATTTCAAAAGAATGTGGCGGCAGTTTAGATGCAGGGGAAGTGTTTTTGAAAAAAAGCCACTTTTTTTCGAAAAAATCCTGTAGTCTAGATACACCCTCAGTGACCTGGCTCCCAACAAGCTTAGGGCTTCCCTTAACTGTACAAGGAGACAGCACTCCTGCTTCAGCTTGTGAAGGGGGGAGAAGGAGGGACTGCTGAGGCTCAGAGACTTGCTGTCAGATTGGGGTGTGAATGCCAGTTCTCTCTGCTCTCTGTAACCTCACTGTGGGCTGGATCCAAGTAAGGCGGTGGCCAAATCTGGCCAGTGGGTTGTAGGCTCCCACCCCTGGTTTAGAGAACACTTTGTCCTCTCTCAGTGTATGTACTGGATTTGATGACCTATTGAGTTCCCTTCCAATCCTACATTACTATGCTATGTGGATTTTTTTTTTAAATGTACAATATCTGGAAAACAAAATAACTATCATAATTATCATCAACTAGCATTGACCTAAAATGTGCTTTATATTTAATGTACCACTTTCCCCATTATAAAATGCCCTGAACATATGATATTCCAGTATAAAAATACACTTAGTGACATTTTAATAGTAGCTGCAGCTGACATATACTTGGTGACTGTTTGGTATCTTTATTGCCACAATGTGGTGTTAACTCTTTGTGTCTTTTAGACTTTAGAGTTAAAAGATTTTAATTCCCTCTATCTCCCAGGAACTTGAAATTCAGAGTTGCACTCTGGCACATGATAATTACTCTGCACAGGTTGAACCTCTCTAATTTGCCACCCTGGGGACCTGATTGGTGCCGAACCAGAGAATTTGCCAGGCCTCAGGAGGTCAATATTGTCTAGCATCACTACCAACACTTCCACTGCTTACTGCGCTCTTAGAAGATATATAGGGGTAAATTAGAGCTAATAGCACAGAACACTAGGTGGCTGTAAACAAGCTTTATGGGATTGCGGAAAACTTGGCCACACCCATGAAAAGTAGACATTCAACTAAACTAAAATCATGCCAGACCACAGATGTCACCGAACCAGAGAGTGCCAGACTAGAGAAGTTAAACTTGTGGTATCACTTTAAGAAGCTGCTGTCAAATGTCTTAAAAAAATTTAGTTGCACATATCAGATCTTCAACTTAGATCTAGTGAAAATAATTATTTATTGACTTGAAGAGAAAATATTATCTAACAAGGATTTGGAAGCTTTAACTAAATAGTTTTTTATACGAACATTTTTTTTTAAACCCCATGTAAATCTGTCTTGAGCTTCTAATTTATTTGCACATATACTAGGGGGCTGTGTCTCCTGCTTGCTACACTTGCCAACCCCCATGTC